ACTTTTCTATGGATTTTTCTTCAGCCACCAGGGGGCGTTGTAGACAGGGGAAGTCAGTGCAAAGAAGAACACGCTAGTTTTTGGGTACCTGGATATTGGCGGCTTATTTTTGTAAATTTGTATTTTTAAAAAAAAAAATGTAATGGGTGCGGCTTATATTCAGGTGCGCTCTATAGTCCAGAAAATATGGTAATTGCAAAAATCTCAAAAGGTTAGATCAAAAGTGATAAATATTCAGATGCATTCAGGTCAGTTTGATCTTTTCTATGCGCCATATTTAAAGCAAATCATTCATTATTTTCTATGTATTTCATATTTGTGAAATCTGTAGTAAATAACTCAAACTTTATATCTCTATATCTGCAGGTGTTTATGAAATCTGTAAAGTTGGAATGGGTGTTGGGAAACATAGACGACGCCCAGGATTTGTGCACAGAGGCACTGAAACACTATGAGGACTTCCCCAAACTGTGGATGATGAGAGGGCAGATTGAAGTGCAGTGTGAAAACATGGACAAGGCCAGAGAGGCCTACAACCAAGGGGTAAGAGAAGGGGAGGGACGTTTGGTTAGTATTTGTGTAGTGATTTACTGCAAAGCAAAAAAAAAAAAAAAAAAAAACTGGAATTAATTAGGAGAGAGAAATTCAGAAGGACATACGCTGCATTTTGAATTTGAGGAAATTTAATTAATAAGATGATTTTTATGTTCTCAGTTCTTGTTTTGTATGAGATTGTCCATTTCTCTAGCATCTTCAGCCTCAGGGTGGCGTCACATATTGTATGTTACATATTATTTAATTAAATATGAAATATTATTATAATATATCTTAATAAAAAAAATTAGATTTATTTCATTTTTCATTTCTTTACAAAGGAAATCAATATACGGTTTAAAGTCTTTATTCTAAATTCTTTATACAGTCAATATAAAATGTCATTTGAAAATTAAATTGTTTCTTAATTTCTGAAATTATTGCTTATGCTATATGTATATATATATATGTATATATATGTGTATATATATGTGTATATATATATGTATATATATGTGTATATATATATGTATATATATGTGTCTCACAACAGGACCACTGTGACTTTTTTTGTTTACAGCATTTGTGGGTTTAATCTTTTCTTCACCCCTTTCCTTCTACAAGTGTCCTTCACTACATCTGTGTTTGTTTGTGCCTGATGAATAATTATGCGATATGCAAATACAGCAGCACCGCTTGATTAACTTGCAGCTCCTTACTTCTTGTCTGCTATGATGATCAGAGCCCTGACTGCTGTTTATCATCCATAATGAGGGGCACCATCAAGGGCATCCAATATTTACATTAACTATTTCCTAACCTTAACCCAGGTGTGGGCAAACGTTTTGACTTGCGGGCCACAATTATCCTAAAATTGAACACGGGAGGCCGAGTCAGGAGCAGATGGAACGTTCGTGTGAATTAAGATAAACGACATGTAAAAGTCACGCATATACCGTAGGCTAAAATGCTAAAATCATTTTTTTACGCCATCTATTGGGGAAACATGGGTATGAGAGGGGAAAATGCAGAAGTATAATGATAATATAAACAAATTATATAATTTGGAAAACTTTGGTGGGCCAGATTAGATAGCTGAACGGGCCGCATCTGGTCCCCGGGCCTTAGTTTGGCCTAGATGAAGCACACAATGTAATTTAAATTTCTATTAATTTTAGGCATTTTGTTTTGAATTTGAACTTAGTTTCCTCCACTATAAGGACAATATAAGGAAATATGCACAACTTCCAGGTTATTGAGCTTAAGAAAAAAACATTAAAAAACATAAGGGATGTTGTCGTACTTGGCTACAGCAAGCAAGACGTGGGGATCATGTTCACACTTCTTCAGAGCATCTACACTCTTTGTCTTCCTTTGTGGTCTTGCCTCCAGAAACACAGCTTGTGCCCACAGAATTCCTGCAGGGAGGAGAAGAGAGAGAGAGAAAATGGAATTACAGAGTGAACGAGGAAAAAAAGACATGTATGAAAGAGTTCAGATTTTTCAGATTTTTTTTGACGAGTTTAAAAAGAATTATGTTGTTGAATAAAATATTAAAGAGGTGAAGATGCAATACTACGCAATACAGTGACGAAACCATAACGATACTGAGTAGTGTCTGGTTTCGACTGAGGAAGAGAGCAGCTCTGGATAATACATGAATTAGCGCTCAGCCTCTTTCTTGTCAGGCACTACTCCTTGCTAAAATTATTTACTCCTGATTTAACTATTTCCTGTTTGAGAGTGGATGTTCAGAGGAATGTTTTTCATGGATATTTTCCTTAAAACAGCTACACAAGCTCTGATAGAAACAAAAATATGTTTACCTGAATTTGGACACTCCTGCAGGGCTTTGGCCATCAGAGTGTTCGCGATGTTCTTCAGTCCGGCCCTGAACTCAAGTCTGACAGACTCCGACCTTATAACAAAAAGTCAATAACAAGGATTTATTGATACGTTACAACACCAGCGCAAACGCATACTGACAAGTGGTGTGTTCCTACCATAACTCTGGGCTTTGAGGGTTCTTCAGCCTTGCCTTCTCGAGGATGGCCCTGGCTCGAGTCAGCTGCCCGACTTTCTCTTCGAGACGAGACAGCAACAACCACAGGGGGACTGAGTGGGGACACTTCTTCAACTACAGCAGGAGAGAAGAGAATAATCAATACTAATAAATCAAATCCACCATCTGTTATATCGCATGTGATCATCGATAATTATATTAATTTAGGTTCCATACACATTTTTTTTTTTTTGATTGACATGAGCTTGAGCATTATCGTAGCCGGCCTACAATTCATGAGCCTTAACAAAATCCGGTATCCTTTTGTGACGTCTTGAGATCACAGTGACGATGCATATATATATATATATATACACATATATGTATCCTTATATATATATATAAGGATACATATATGTGTATATATATATATATATATGCATCGTCACTGTGATCTCAAGACGTCACAAAAGGATACCGGATTTTGTTAAGGCTCATGAATTGTAGGCCGGCTACGATAATGCTCAAGCTCATGTCAATCAAAAAAAAAAAAATGTGTATGGAACCTAAATTAATATAATTATCGATGATCACATGCGATATAACAGATGGTGGATTTGATTTATTAGTATTGATTATTCTCTTCTCTCCTGCTGTAGTTGAAGAAGTGTCCCCACTCAGTCCCCCTGTGGTTGTTGCTGTCTCGTCTCGAAGAGAAAGTCGGGCAGCTGACTCGAGCCAGGGCCATCCTCGAGAAGGCAAGGCTGAAGAACCCTCAAAGCCCAGAGTTATGGTAGGAACACACCACTTGTCAGTATGCGTTTGCGCTGGTGTTGTAACGTATCAATAAATCCTTGTTATTGACTTTTTGTTATAAGGTCGGAGTCTGTCAGACTTGAGTTCAGGGCCGGACTGAAGAACATCGCGAACACTCTGATGGCCAAAGCCCTGCAGGAGTGTCCAAATTCAGGTAAACATATTTTTGTTTCTATCAGAGCTTGTGTAGCTGTTTTAAGGAAAATATCCATGAAAAACATTCCTCTGAACATCCACTCTCAAACAGGAAATAGTTAAATCAGGAGTAAATAATTTTAGCAAGGAGTAGTGCCTGACAAGAAAGAGGCTGAGCGCTAATTCATGTATTATCCAGAGCTGCTCTCTTCCTCAGTCGAAACCAGACACTACTCAGTATCGTTATGGTTTCGTCACTGTATTGCGTAGTATTGCATCTTCACCTCTTTAATATTTTATTCAACAACATAATTCTTTTTAAACTCGTCAAAAAAAATCTGAAAAATCTGAACTCTTTCATACATGTCTTTTTTTCCTCGTTCACTCTGTAATTCCATTTTCTCTCTCTCTCTTCTCCTCCCTGCAGGAATTCTGTGGGCACAAGCTGTGTTTCTGGAGGCAAGACCACAAAGGAAGACAAAGAGTGTAGATGCTCTGAAGAAGTGTGAACATGATCCCCACGTCTTGCTTGCTGTAGCCAAGTACGACAACATCCCTTATGTTTTTTAATGTTTTTTTCTTAAGCTCAATAACCTGGAAGTTGTGCATCTTTCCTTATATTGTCCTTATAGTGGAGGAAACTAAGTTCAAATTCAAAACAAAATGCCTAAAATTAATAGAAATTTAAATTACATTGTGTGCTTCATCTAGGCCAAACTAAGGCCCGGGGACCAGATGCGGCCCGTTCAGCTATCTAATCTGGCCCACCAAAGTTTTCCAAATTATATAATTTGTTTATATTATCATTATACTTCTGCATTTTCCCCTCTCATACCCATGTTTCCCCAATAGATGGCGTAAAAAAATGATTTTAGCATTTTAGCCTACGGTATATGCATGACTTTTACATGTCGTTTATCTTAATTCACACAAACTCTCCTGACCCGGCCCCCGTGTTCAATTTTCGGGCAATTTGTGGCCCGCGAGTCAAAAAGTTGCTCCCTAGTCCTGCAGACATAATTAAGCACATTTTTAAGTTTTTGTTTTTTTTCAAAGTTTCAACCAATTATATTGCATTGAATAGTTGCTTTTTTTTTCCAACTTTGACATTGTCATTAACTCTTAGGTTGTTTTGGAGTGAACGAAAAATCACCAAAGCCAGAGAGTGGTTCCTCAGGACTGTGAAGATTGACCCCGACCTGGGAGACTCTTGGGCGATGTTTTACAAGTTTGAGCTGCAGCACGGCACAGAGGTAAATAGCGTGTTTATTGTTGTGGGTGAATATGAAATGTTAAGTTTTCATACTGTACTTTGAGCTCTGGGCAAATGGTTAAAGTTGAATATGTTTATTGTTATGGGTGAATATTAAAAACTTAACAAACCGTACTTTAAGCTCTGGGCAAATGGTTAAAGTTGAATTATAGATGTCACGTCCTGCAGAAATTCATATCCAGAGGATGGTCCTTCACTAAAAAGAGGCGTTCGGCCTCACTTAAAATTGTATATTGTTTTTTTTTTAATTTTTGCGCTTAGTTTCCAAGTGCTTATTCATATGCCATTAATGAGAATACTGTTATATTGTCTTCAGAGGTGTAAGGAAATGAGAATTACCTAGACTCACCTAGGAAAAAAAAACTGGCCCGCTAGATGAATTTTGTAAATAAAAAAAATAAAGTAAAAATAAATTGTACTGGTCCAGCCCATTTGACATCTAATTAGGTTGTATGTGATCTGTGAACCAAAATGAGTTTGACATCCGTGGTTTAGTTTAAAGCAGGGGTTCCCAATAAGTAGATCGGGATCTCCAAGGAGATCTCAAAGGGTGTGACTTCATTTTCAAGGCTTTGTGCATGCCTCAGTGAACTCTGTGTGATGTTAATTGTTACTGTTCCAATACCAGGAGCAACAGGCAGAGGTATTGAAACGCTGTGACAATGCAGAACCACGTCACGGAGAGCTCTGGTGCGCCGAGTCCAAACACATCCTCAACTGGCAAAAGAAGACTGGGGAGATACTGGAACTCGTCGCCAGCAAAATCAAAAACGCATTCTGAACTTGAGAAGATGTAAACCAGTTTGCAAATTAGAGCATAAGAAATTGATTCGTGTGAAAATATCGTAATAATTTTTGTTGTGACATTGTCGAATGTTTTCAAAACACTTTTGTTTTTTTTTGGTTTTTTTTTGTTATTCTACACATTTCTAGTATGATTTGTATCCCTTTTGACCATGTATGTATATATGTAAAGTCTTTGTTATGGTTAACATTTTTGGCATCCGTGCATACTGTCGTGTGTGTATCAGTGACCCGAAAACATGTTGAAATTCTGGAAAACTAGAAAAATACAGAATAATAAAAAAGGACACATTTCACAAGAGTAAAATGGTGCAATGAAGTAATTTTGAAGTTAAATAAAAATCATTTAAAAAATGTTACCTAAAAATGACATTATATATTGGGCACCCTCAGAAAATTGGAGGAAGGACAAAAAAGATGCACAAAAAAACCCAACTATTTTTTTTTAATAACCGTTTGTCTTGAACTGTACAACATCTAAAACTGAACAAGAGTGTTCTTTTCTCTCGATGGGAAGCTACCCAAAATCTGCCACTGATCCACTGTGATAGGCAACGGGCGGCAGAACTGGGTGCAACACAGAAGAAACACACGAGAAACATAACAAACTAACCAAAAACCCCCTGAAAATAAAACACGGATTGGACAAGAAAACAAGAACAGCCTCAAGCATGTACAAAATATACTGAACCGGGACCAGAAACTGCTGAGGGAGAGTCTGCCCAAGGACCATAAACTACCAAGGAAGAGACAGCCGCCGACTCAGGGACCACTGAAGGAGTGACAGCCGCCAACTCAGGAACCACTGGGGGAGTGACAGGCGCCGCGCCACGAG